GCCCAGCCTCCCCCAGGGCATTTGCATGAGGCCCCCAGGGAGGAGCTGCCCCCTGTGGTCTGAGCTAAAAGGCCAGCTGGGCCCTGCTCCCTCAGGGGCCCCTCAGGTCAGCTTGTCAGCATGAGGTTCCCTGCAGAGCTGCTGGGGCTGCTGCTGCTCTGGAGCCCAGGTGAGGCCGAGGGCAGGGGGTGGCCCCTGGGTGTGAGGGGAGCCCAGGGGCCGCTCCTGTGTGTTCTGGGTGCACTAGACACAGGTCTCAGTGTCTGGGGAGCTGCAGAGAATGTTTCAAGCTGTGAGATGTAGAACAGCCTAATAGTAAGGGTTTGTGCTCCAGTGAGTTCTGACAGAGAAAGAGGGGAAGGTCGTGGGAGAGGCTAGAGACCCCTGTGTGCCTACAAATCTGGTTTGCAATTGGATATGTTTTGTGTCAATCAGTATCACGTATAACATGATGTAGCCTGAAATAATTAGTAAAGGAAAACAATGTAAATGGTTCATAGCATTTGTCCTTAAACGTATATTTCTTTCTTCTATTTCAGGCTCCAGTGGGGAGGTCGTGCTGACCCAGACCCCCCTCTCCCTGGCTGTCGCCCCTGGGGAGCAGGTCTCCATCTCCTGCAGGGCCAGTCAGAATCTTGTGCACAGTAATGGAAACACCTACTTGGAATGGTACCAGCAGAAACCGGGCCAGTCTCCAAGTCTCCTGATCTATTTGGTTTCCAAAAGATATAGTGGGGTCCCCGACAGGTTCAGTGGCAGCGGGGCGGGGACAGATTTCACCCTGAAGATCAGCAGGCTGGAGCCTGAGGATGCTGGAGTCTATTACTGCATGCAGGGTACACATGATCCTCCCACGGTGGTTGAGCCCCGAACAAAAACCTCCCTCGTGGCCGGTACAGATGCCCATGTGGTTGGCTTCTGTCTCGTGAGCTGGCACAGGAGACCGAGCCTGTGTAAGAGGAAGATGGTAGAGAGCTCTGGGCCGTGAGAGCCTCAGCCACCGAGACACCAGCTCCCAAGCCCTGTCATGGGCACTGTTTCAGCCTGGAACAGGGACAGGGAACGTGGGTGGCTGGGGACCTGGACAGCCCCTCACGGGGACAGGGCCAGCTGACTGGGTGCTGTGCTAGGCTGCCTGCCTGGCCTGCACTGGGCAG